AATAAATAGTAACCAAGAGAAAGTTCCTGAGGGATTTGATGTCTATCTTTTCAGGAGAAAATTGACCAATAGCTGTTCTAATATTGATTATTTTCTGAGAGAATAGATTTTTATATATAAACAAGATTTTAAATTGACGGTTTCCCTACAACAAGGCAAATGCTGTTTTGAGTTAAACGATTCGACGGATAGTTAGTGATCAGCTCCCATGGACACCCGTAACACCAAAGGAGTCACAAGTTCGTTGCCGGCCTTTATTACCTACTATATCCTCATGTAACAGTTCTTTATTATGAGCCAAAATTAGGCACAAAGAAACTGCGTCAGTTACTTTTGAAGACACAAAGCGAGGTTACTATGCTACTGTTCTCCACAAGGGAAGTATACCATCAAACAATGAGCTCCGCATAATTTACCATTGTAGTGTAATCTGCTAATTTATATTGTTTTTGTTTATCCCCCTAATTATGCGAATTTGAGAAGGTACCGTGTGAATGATGAAGTGGACCGTTTCGTCACGGCACTGAATGGGCTCTGCTCACCAAGTGAAGGGGCCCAAATGACTTTGTTTTACACTTTTTGCTACCAAAACTTATTAGTCTATTCATCGAATTAAGTCAGTGATGTATAACGGATTCTTAATAAAGATTTCAAATACAATAGATACTGTTTGATTATTATATATTGACTAGCTGTGCCCGCGACTTCGTTCGCGTAGAATAGTGACTATGAGCAGCGTTTTTTTTTTAAATATATACTTATTTTTATTTTAGATTTGGATCATAATCACAGTCATTTTGGGTAGCTAAAAAACCTACTTTACTGTAATGCTTCTCTATATACAATATTAGACGTATGGCCATCGGGGGTGAAAGCATACAGGCTGCTGGGATTGCTAACACGGGACAGAGCCACATACCTCTACAATTGACCGTGCGAAAAACAGCTGATACTTAGATCTATACCCACAACTTTTAGAGTCTGACCTTGAGCTTTATTAATTGTCATGGCGAAACATAGGCTCACTGGAAACTGAATTCGTTTAAAATTAAACGGAAATTTTTTTGGAATGAGAGGAATCTGAGGAATAAAACCACTATCACCTTTTCCGCACCCTGTTAAATATATATATATTTATAAGCCATTTCTGAGATTAGCGTGAACAGACAAACAGACAAACAGACAAAAAAAAAGTTAGTTACATTTTTGGGTTCGACATCGACATAACAATAGCCCCTGCTATTTTTTTTATTTTTATTTTCAATGTACAGACAGCACTTTTCTACAATTTTATTATATGTATAGATAGATAGATAGTGTTCGACGTGATTCTTGGTACAATTGACCGTGCGAAAAACAGCTGATACTTAGATCTATACCCACAACTTTTAGAGTCTGACCTTGAGCTTTATTAATTGTCATGGCGAAACATAGGCTCACTGGAAACTGAATTCGTTTAAAATTAAACGGAAAATTTTTTGGAATGAGAGGAATCTGAGGAATAAAACCACTATCACCTTTTCCGCACCCTGTTAAATATATATATATTTATAAGCCATTTCTGAGATTAGCGTGAACAGACAAACAGACAAACAGACAAAAAAAAAGTTAGTTACATTTTTGGGTTTTTTTTCGACAAAACAATAGCCCCTGCCATTTTTTTTATTTTTATTTTCAATGTACAGACAGCACTTTTCTACAATTTTATTATATGTATAGATAAGCGAATTGATGAAAGGCTATCATTATGTTCGAATGAAATATTAAAGAGGTTATTTAGTATTTCAATTAATAAGTGTGAAGTGCATTTCTGGCGAGTTTTAATGTTTGTTTTGATTTCATGTTAAGTTTGTTTTATATTAACTGATTTTGTACGAAGCTTCTGGATGTGAACTAATACTATCGTTATAATATCAAGAAATCTTTAGTACGCTATTAGTCAGATTTAATAGGGACAAGCTAGAGGCGGGTCTCTATTAAACTCTACTACTACTCATATCGGAGGTTTTTAACAAGAAAACTAAAGACATGCCGCATAATATTTACTTTCTAACAGACTTAGAGAGGACATATAATCCATGGGACAGGATTAAAAAACAAAGTCGCTCATAAACAGACACAATAAAAGTAGAAAACAACTGTCTAAAGAAGAGTGATCAAATAATATCGCAAGTTAAATTACAAAGTCAAATAACTAAGTAGATCATGGTTTAGCAAGACTTCATGTTTGGCTTGAGGCTCGACTGTAACAAGGGATTGTCCGTTGAACTAATATTCAGTAAATGCTAAAATAAATCAGCCTAGCCCAGCCCACTATATTAATACGAAATTCCTGTTTATTTTATTATGCATTGGAACAATTCGGAGCGTGGGACACTTGGAACATTTTCGTGTAATAGATGTTTTGTGCCCGCCTAGTGTCGCTGAATAAGGTAACTTAATATGTTTTAAATGTTTTCCTTCGTGCGAATTTTCTTACGCAAATGTCTGCAGTAGGAAAGTTGGGTTATGTTGCTGTTGTCACGTGGTTTGGATTTTATGTTCTAGTAATGGGTTTGTGACGTCACAAAGTAGGTTGGTTGCAGAATTTTGTGTTTCGTTTTAAGTAGTTTTCTTGTTCGTTGATGTTGGGTGTAATTGGGTTTGGGTTGGTGATGTTGAAGTGATATAACGTAAACGGGTTTAAGTTAAGTTCGGGTACATCCAATTTCAGTACTTATGTTCACGTAATAGCGCTGGTGTTAGCTTAAACAAAATTTTACTTTGATCCGGTAAAGAAACTTCGAGATGTTGAATCATCAAGGAATCAACTATGAAATAATCGTAAATTGGTTTTATAATGTTCATTTCAATAAGAATCAAAATGGTAAAAAGAAGACTTACATTAAAGCAAAACAAAGTTTACTCCGTCCTGATAAGAGATGGCGCTACTGATGCGCGCAGCTGCTAGTGGTATGCGGCACTACAATGAAGTCTAAAAATAAGTTACAAAAGTAATGCATTCTTTGACTAAATGAATTTTATTTTTAAATTCTCGTGTATGTTTTAAATCGAAATGGCAAAATAACCTTAAAGTTTGAAAAATAAAGTGAATTTAAAACAAAAATTAATATGTTTTGAAGATAAAGTACATATTATTACACTAAAATTACTGAAGATAGCAAAATTAATACATCACCAACTGGCTGTAACGGTCCCCTCCTAGGCTATGGGTTTCGACATGAAAAATATTAACAAAGTAAAATATAAATATGAACAAAGATATCAAAAGGAGGTTTATTAATAAACCAGGCAAGAGGAAATCCATACATCACCAAATACAGATCAGTCCATAAATGTGGCTAATTAGCAGAATGTGAACGGCATATGACAATGTCGTCCGATCCAGTTTATAACGCTTTATTGCAATCCTTCAATTGATCGGAAGGTATCCATAATAGGGTCACTATTCCTACTACTGTTACAATAACCGTCTTAAAAAAAAAAGATTGTTTCCGCTTTCCTGGAATACATTTTGTTAAGTAAAGTAGTTACCTCTATTCATATCGTGTGCTTTGATAACCCTTATGTAGGTAGAGGTGCACATTACGGCATTTAATGCTACTGTACAATGTAACACCCACTTTCTCACTATTTATGTTATGAGTCCCATGTAATAGGGGGTGAGCATATTGCCATATACCGGGCACATTTCCAGACTCCGTGCTACTACTGAGATTTTTTCTAAAACCCAGTAATACTTTGCCAGACTCGGGAATCGAACCCCTTGCCCCGTGTTACACTTGCGATTACTCGGCCAACGAGGCAGTCTAGGCTATTATTTAACTTTCAATTCGAAAGATCGAAGTGAATTCGATCGCGGTTCGCTATGTCATTGGATGTGAAGATAATCTCGACCAATGACGGCCAAGAATGCGATCGAACTCACTTCAAATTTCGAATTAACAGTTACAGAACCCTAGCTGTGTACAGTAAGAGTAATTTTACGATTTTCGTCTTTTTGGCATTTCTAATCATTTCGTTTGAAATTGTTCTTAAAAAAGTAACATTAAAAGTCAACTTGTAACGGTCTGAATGTGTGTGTTTATGCCAACAATTTCATTCCTGTTTGACCGGTAGATGATTGCTTTATCTTTAATTATTTAGGTCAATTTGCTTACAAGAAGATTATAGATAGGTACTGTTCTTCAGAATAATGCGTTTTAAGTCCCAGTTATTTAGAACTCTCGATTTTATAGTGGCGTCTACTAACATAATCAAATTGCTACATTTTCGAGTGGGTGTAAACATAACTGGCGACCTTGAAGGCCCTTGTTAGATGCTAGGGCAGGTAAGCTTCGATACCCAATTACAATTTAGGGTTGCACAAAAATTTTGTTATATTTTGAATTAGGCATAACATATTATTACTGTCCACAAAATATAGTGATATTAGTACAGTGCATTTTTTTATCCAATGATGTACCTTGTAGCAAACCTGCCTTAATAAATTTTTCTTCAATGAATAAACTAATTAACAAAATGGTTTCTCTAATAAACGTATCGATATATTTTAAATTAAACAGTGCTAATGAAAACACGAGTAAAGTTCAGTGGCCGGTGAACCTAATGCGTCTTTACGACGCAGCCCAGAGGGACCTGCCAGCCAGACGGTACGAACAAAAAGCCAATTTCATAAAACTATGCACCCGACTGCGGCCCATAACAATAAATGAGCAAACCTCCAGAACCTGATACCTCGCCCGGATATACTTTTCACATGTCCTATGTCAACGCACACGAAATATTCGTCTTCCATTCCATGAATTATTCAAACTTTAATTTGACAAACATTCACTAAAGCAGCAATGGATCAACACCTAAAGCAACGACCGCATCGCTCGAGTACAGTGGTAGAGGAATCTGCAAGTCTACCGCACACATGAGCGTCCGTGTCGAGACGCGGAGGCTTCGAGTGCACACTAGTATAGTTTTACATCGCGCGCCAGTCTGCACCGTGCTGCCGCTCGCGACGCTCGTGTCGTGAGGCGCGACGACGCCGAACCTCCGACATCGCGAAAAAAGTTTTCGCCCGACACACGAAACTTTCCTAGACTTTCCTTTCAACCCGCACATTGTTGAATTGGAACAGTCTATTTTGAACCCGGCGAACGCGAAAAGTGACCTTCTCAAACCGGAATTCGGTATCCTCCGGAACGGGTTTAGTCTCGGACCCCGCCGTGCCAGGACTTTCGTGAAGTGCTAACTTGATTTTCATAGTGGTGTGTTCAGTGTGAGTGACTGGATTCTACGCTTAACACGGAAGGCCGGACGTTGTCCCAACACTTTTAAGGTTGGCTTCAAGTAAAAGTGCTGTTAAAAATTTCAGTAAGTATTGTTTTAAGTTACAGTTCAAAGACCTCGAAAGTAACTAAAACTATACTCCCAGCGGGAAAAGTGATTAAAACAAAAAGTTGTAAATTGGAACATAATGGTATTACTGGACAAAATGTCGTAACAGTCCTTGCCCTTGTCAAAACAAAAAGTGCACTAATATTTCCATCCGACAACTTAATTCAATAGTAGACAGCAAAAAATAAGTCGGTCACAGAGTAAACAATATTAAGAGTATTTTATGTATTGGAAGTAATCAGCAAAATCGACATGCTTTAATCTTGAGCTGACAATCTAGAAAATTACGAAAGCCATTTAATACATTGGAACTGCAATCAAAGTCAATACTCTCTGCAGTGCTCGTAGTTGTCGAATACAAAAATAATATTTAGAAAAGATAAATAAGAAGTTTTCAATTATAAGTAATTGGAATAGGAGCAAAAGTTTTGGAGTCAGTGCCCCTTTACCGGATCTGTGGTACGTTCGACTTGTGCAGCTTTTTTCCATGTTTGTATATTCAGGAGGCTCATTCGACCTCAGAGTGTTTTGCATCAATCGAAAGTGCCATGTGTCTGTTAGTCTATTTTGGAGCAAACAGATGTGCAAAAAGTGAACCAAAAAACGACTATTGAGCTCTTTGTGGAGTAAAAAACATTGCAGCGTTAACTTTGTTATTTTTTTCTTCGATGCCAAATTCGCTCTCGGCACTGCGTTAGTAATGTGCTCTTGTTTTATTTTTAAGTGTAGTGAAATTATTTTTGGCATCTCGAGATTCAATGAATGGTAATTCTTTGACCTCAGGAGAACTTTGACTTTTGTAGAGTTGCCGTTCTAATCGAGATTTGAGTTTTGTTTCATCAGAATTGAGATTAGTCAAGAAATACAAACACATTTTAGCGTTTCACAAAGTAACATTTTCACAGGTCATAATGCCAAGGCCGAACCTAGCAATGAATAACTTTAGAAATTCTGCGGCACCTATTACAGTAGCCGGGTACTTTATTAATTGAAATGTTGTAACCGCATCCAATTATTTCTTGGATCAGTTAGTTACAAAATATGTTATCATTAGTGCTGTTAACTCTGAATAGAAAAAAGTATATTATGTAGCTCTTACTTATAAAAAAAAATATCTACAATAGATATTTTTTGACTAACAAGACCTGTTTTATTTTCTTCTACTCTAAAACTTTTTTAACTATTTTTTTATTATTATTAACCACTTCGGTTGTATTAGCAAACAATCTTCACATAGTGTTACGTAGCTAGAAAAAATGGTGACCGTAGGCCGAGCCAGTCGTGCGTTTCCTTTACCCAGGTGGTCGAGTTACAGAAAACAAAAAACTAATATCTTATTTACTTTAGTTACATGGATAAACCGTACAATAGATATTTCATCTTCTTTATCTGTTTAATCTTATTATTTTATGTCTGTAGAACCGATCGCTTGATGTAATAATTGGTTATCGCTTTTAAAAATTAAAAGTCATCGAACTTCACTTTTTTTTCTTTTTTGAGACTAAGCGCTAACTTAATGGAATTACCATCATGTTTTTAATCATTGAGGCTAGTGATTTGGAATATCTTATAGGACAAACAGTCCTTAACAGAGCATAAATGCTTGCTGTTGGTACGAAATGTGATAAGGTACTTTTACATTAACAGTTGAAGCTGACAGTAATCCAGACACTTGAACACGTGTGCCTCAAGACATTGAACCCAAAGACGGCATAAATATTGACTTTTTGGATGAACATTGAGTGCAAAATGAAAAAGCAAGCAATGTTATCGCCTCTTTTCATACAAATAGTGTATGTTTTGATTGAATATTTGACCTCAAATGTTTAACTTCAATTTTAGAAACACTTTCACGGCTAGCCAATAGAGAGATCGTTTGCATATACGTTTATTGACAATGTATTTTGTGGTCTTGTCAATACAATGTAGATATAAGTTATCTTGGTTTAGTACCTTAACTGTTCCTGGGAACTTTCTATTGATAATCTTGATATGAACTGGATCGTTCTTGTTATTTGTTATAAGGACGTTATTAAACTGGTTAAAGACAAGTTTTACGCTAAGAGCTTCGGAACATAACTATTAAAAATTGCTATAAATACTTTTCCATTAATTAATTCATTTCTGAACTTAAATGTGTCTTAAACGTTGACATCAATATCCACCATTTTCTGTTATTGAATGTTTTTTATGACAATAAAGATGATGACTTAAATTCTAAAGTTAGAGGGTTAAGGTCTAAATTTGATCAAGTAAGAATCAATGACCTTCCTCGAGAATCATGACAGAACTCATCAAACACTTGTTTGTGTGAAAGATCGAAGCTTCCTGGTGACGGTATCTACATGATATGTATGGCCGTGTCAATATGTTTACTAATCTATGTTTATTCATTAGTTCATATTACATGAAGGTCGTCCATATTGTCGGCCTGTTATACTAAACGTGATTTGACTTTGAAACCGTATAGTGTTACGTTATTAAGTTTTATTTCATTAACATCTGTTAGGTTTGGAGGCAAAAAGTGACTAATTTTAACAGAGGGGCTTGTTTTAGGTTAGTTTTTGGGGTATCAAGTTTTGAGTTACTGTGTGGTCGTGTATTGATGTTGTCACGTGATTTTTTGGACCAGTTTTTCGGGTAGCCAATTTTAGAAGTTAAAAGGATGGCTCTATCAATATCGATTTATTGGTATTGTTTGTAATATTTTCAAAAAGAACTAGTTACTTGTGTAAAACAAGTACAAAGATTTTTATATTGTATTTACTGTAAAAAAAGAGTCTAGAGGACAAAGTTTACAGTATTTTTAAAAACAATATTCGAAATAGGTTTCTAGGAGCACAATACCAAGCTTAATAAAATTTTATAAACGAGAAAATTATTACTAACAGCGCCGTGCTATCTTCATAACTAAAGTGAGATATTAAGATATAAATCAATAAAAGGCTCTACCAATCCTAATACAGTAGTGGAATCAATCCCAAAGTTTTTGCCCTCACAAATTTTTTAGGAGGTCAGAAACCTGGTTTCTTTGTACTCGTGAATGACTGGAGTTGCGGTCATTGACCTTAATTCTACAATAAGACATAATAATAATAATGTAGCAAAAATTTCATTATTGGTCATAACCAGTGTTTATGGTGCGCTATGGTGTAAAAGTCACGTCATTGCAATGACATTATGGGACAAGAAAAAATTATGCATAATGTTAACGGTGACGGTCGACTCGATGTGGTGGTCGTGAGTACGATTGCTAGGCTCGACGTTTTGATTTTGGGGTCAAGTAATGACATTTTGGACGCTGTGTTTTATTTTTTTGGATTTTAATTTAATAATAATTTATAATGACATCACTGCCAAGTTTGTCAGGAAATGTATCGACGAAGTCTATTAACAGGATTTTGGCATCAATTCATAATAGAGGCAAGTTAACAGAAAATGACATATGATTTATTACATTTTTTTCAATGTTGTAGTTATTTCAAAGTGAAAATTCAAATTACTCTCAAAATAATTTACATTTATCACTTATTCTGACACCCGCACTACATCTGCATCACGAAATTATTCAGTCACGTCAATGACATTGACATGTAAAAAGTTTAATACGTTTTTATGTGTCACTCTACATTTTAATTAAAGTAAAACATTACTCACATCAAAAACATTCCAGCTCACAATCTTATTTATAATAATGTGCTCGAAATGTCCACAGCACATTCACGTAGGTAGTTTTAATCAACATTTGCAGAACCCAAACACTTTCATTTCATATTCATTTTATTCCATCAACATTTTTTAATATAATTTGCCTTACATTTGATCTGAGATAAACATCGTCTTGTATGTCATTCTGACAAGATTATCTGGTGATGTAACGATAGTGTTCAGTACAGGTGTCTTGATTTACAGATAAATCCATACTTGCTACTTGAACGTTAAATTTCACAGCTGACTTTATGAATTTCTAAGATAAAGTTGAACTAAATTGGATTCGAATTACCGATGGTAATGCTAATTTTGTTTGAAGTACTCGTGACAGCCTGTCAGTTAGAAGATATCGAAGATTTCTGTGAGAGCTAAAAGAAAGGTAGATCTAAGAGTAACATGAAATACTGTGGAGGTCAACGTGAGCTGGCAACCTGTTGACCATTGCGATTTTAAGTCAATACATTAACGTGACCTGTGGCTGGCAACACCTCTCACCATATCTCACGAGTAGTATCAATACCTCTCGAGATTTAAGTACTATTCAAGTTGCTTTTATATTTGAACACCGTTACGTACTCATCAATTACAGACACAAGTTAGTCACAGGTCATGGACATGGGAACAACAAACAATGCTTCTGTTACAGATGAAACTATTTTCGGAATATTAGCTTTTAAATATTGCAAAATCAGTGTTGCAACTAGACAAACTGTTTGTCTAATAAACGTTTATTAAGACGAGATCAAACACGCGGCCTTGAGGCAAGACCTGCCTATGCGTTGTGAAACATGCGTTGTCAACATTATTACAGCTTATTACTTCGTCATAGAGATCATATATCGTCAAATTGTCTGCAACACCTTGACACATAGGTAACTGTCAACCTTCAAGTACACGCATTTTACCATCAATTACTAATCATTCGTTATCATTAATAACTGCCGATCGTGCTCTTACAGGTCATTCATCGAATTCTCACAGTGTTCGTATGTAATCTCATGCAATCATTTCATCGCATTGGATAAATATACAAAGATTGGCAATATCCAAATTGTATAAAGGCAATAAATCATCGTTTTTGTCAATATCGTGCACAGTTTGGTTGCGAGTGAATTTTTTTAATGCAAGGTTCTTGTGGATTAATGGGTATTTATATCTAGTGTGTTCACTATCAGATAGTGGTACATTAAGATTATATTCAGCGTGTGTGGCCTTCACTGCATCGTTTGTGGTCCTATTTGAATAGCTAGTAAATATTGACCCAC